GAACCGAACCGAATCCTATCCGAAAAAGTAGTATCGAACCCGAACCGAAATTGATTCAATATCCGAATGGGTTTAAAATTTTAGTATTTAAAGAACCGAAACCAAACCCGACCCGAACCAAAGTATTTCGGGTAGCCGAATATATCCGAAAGAGTTTTATATACCTATATATATTAATTATATTTAGATTTAATGTATATAAAAAACATTCACTATATATAAAATGCTTTAAAATTGTTCAAAATACTTGTAAATATATGTAAATAGTCAAACATACATGTCTAAAATTGCTAAAGTGCACTCAAAACATCAAAAATATTTTTAAAAATTATTAATTCACAATCCAAATATTCAAATCAAACTAATTTATATGTTTTTTTTTTTTTTTTGAAAGAATGTTAAATTTATTCAAATCAAAAAAGACTTTTGTACAAACTAATGCAGCCTGAGTCTAAAAATGTGTAATCATTTTGAATAAAACAAAAGTGGTTAACACCCCCGCCTAATCTCTAGACGAAAACCAAACCCCCATAGCTTGGTTGAAAGATGTTCCTCTGCGTCCTCTTAGTGAACTGATTCTGTTCCTAACTTGTTTGTCGATGAACTTGATAAGGAGTTGTGGGGGTTTCTGAGCCGTACTATGTCTTCTGCCATTTCTCTCTAGCCAAATGGTGTGCACTGAAAGTTGAAACACATATCTGAGAAGAAACTTCATCACTCCTGAACCATTTTGTGTCGATATTAGCGCAAGGACTTGACTCCACTCATGCGAGTAGCTCTGTCCCACCAGCTTTCCCGTGAGATTTCTCCAAATAGCCTCAGAAAAGGCGCATGAGAAGAAGATGTGATTCCTGGTTTCGATCGCAGAAGTGCAGAGAATGCATTGAGCATTGGTATGAGGGTTCCATTGGAGCAATCTATCTCCAGTTGCTAGGCGGTTGTGTGCTGCAATCCATGCCATTACAGAGTATTTAGGGGTTGATCCAACGAACCAGATGCCCTTGTACCACTGAACTTTTGGCTGCTGCACACGCGTTAGGTTCCAAGTTTGATTAGAGTCAAAGCACGGACGAAAAACATCTCCTTTGCCTCTCCACAAAGTCACATCTTCCTCTTCAGAAAGACCCTGCGCTCTCAGATGCAGTATCTCATTATCAATTACATTCAAGTGAGCTACTCTATAGTTAAGACTTCGATAGTTTTGGATGACAAACTCTTTTGTGGCATTGAGATTGATCCCTAGCGCAATGCATCCTTGCATATGTGTAAGATCGATTATCCTCCCCAAGGGTGACCACTCATCAAACCAAAAAGAAGTAGTAGACCCACTTCTTATCTCAACCTTGACAAAAGATCTAGCAAGAGCCCTATATTTCAGTAGTTTTTTCCAAATCCAGGAACTAATTTATATGTTACTTTTAGGTATTTTGACTTATGTTATTTAATTGTTTGTAAAATATTATTTTATTTTATAGATTTTTAGAAATCTAAAGTATATAACCAATTTTAAAATTTTAAAAATAATTTAAATGGGTTATCCGAACCTGAACTGAACCCGCAAAGATCCGAACCGAACCTGAACCGAAATTTAGAAATATCCGAATGGGGCTAAAATTTGTGAACCCGAAAATTCGAAACCCGAATAGATCCGAACCAAACCCGAATGGGTACCCGAACGCCCACCCTTAAATCATTTTACCAGTTAATTATAGTAGCGAATATGTATCTCCTTAATAATAGTATAATCTTACCAAACTCTCAATTATATGCAGATATACATCTGATATTTAATGGTGAAAAATGATAAAGAAACAATGGAAGAGAAACGAGAATGTAAAAAAAAAAATAGATTATCATTTGGAGAATGGATTTTGAATAAGATTCAAGAGAGAGAAAGAGAGAGAACAAAAGTAATAGTTTGGGGAGGAGTAATCTTGGGTTTTACAATTATTAGCAGTGTAAAAAATAGTTAGTTAATTATGGTTTTTTCTAGGGGTGGGCACAATTACTTGCTATTCGGCTTATACTTACTACTTAATTCGTACTTGACTCTTAAAGTCGAGTACTCATTTTGTTCAAGTCAAGTATCAAGTCGTTTATTTCAATTACTTGCAAATACAAGACAAGTACCAAATACTAAAATGAAAATAACTACTTGACGTTGTTAGGTTGTTATTCGTGATTTATTACTTGATTAATTACCCATTTTTACTTTGAGACAAAAAAAAAATTCCAAATTATAAGCAGTTTATAAAATAAATGAATTAAAAATGATATATCATAGAGAATATTTAGAGTTTTCTTTTAATTTTATATTTATCATATCTAAACTATTAAAGGGGAAATACAAAATAGAAATAACTTTTAGTTTTCCTCAAAAATAAAAAATTACAATAGAACCACTACAATTAAAACACTGTAGTTTTGCTCTTATATAGAATTCAATATAGGTTTACGGTCCAATAATTTTAAGTCAAAATTTCCCAAAACCAAACAGCTGAATTCAATTTTAAAAATGGCTTTTGTTAATAAAATTGCTAAAACTCTTATTTTTTTGTCTTTTTTTTTGCTTTCTAAATAATTTATTTTTAAAAAATAACTATAAAATACAATTTTAAATTATAATTACAATCACAAATTGTATAGTATAATTTAATAAAATACAAATAATCTTAACAAGATATTCTAATATTTTACACTTAATTGTTTAGTTTACCAAGTAAAAAAAATTATCTATCAAAAAAATACAACTTGATAGTTAGAAAAAGACGCTAAACAAAATGAACAAGATACACCGACATCATAACTCAATAACCTATGAACATAAATATGAATGTTTTTTACAACTACTATAAATATATATTTTTACAGAAACATACATCCGCGCAGACGCGCGGATCAAAAACTAGTATCGATTTAAAACATGTGAAAAGTAAATAAATATTTTTTATTAAAAATTGTTTAGATTATAATTATAAATAAATATTTTTTTCTTAAATTCATATACAAAGTTTAAGTATCTAAAATTAATAAACTATTATTAAATAATTTACAAATAACTATATAATAATTTATAAATTAGTTCAGAAGTAACAAGTAGTAAACAAAATAAGTACTTGCAAATATGCTATTTTTTAGCAAGTACTTGAAAATACAAGTACTTGTTTTTAATAAATCAAGTACAAGTCTAAATTTTTATTACTTGAACAAACCAAACCAAGTACCAAATACGCCAAAAAAGCAATTATTTAGTTTGTGTCCACCCCTAGTTTTTTCATGTATATGTGATCTAATTTCTCAAAAGAAAATATAAATATAATAAAATATTTAAAATAGATAAATTTTGTTTTGTGTTTTAGTTTTAATATCTTTAATATGATAGATTTCAAAAAGAAAGAAAAAAAAAATGCGTCTTTAGGGATACGATGGTGGTGTGAAATAAAGGTATCATATACTTATCCACATTATTGCACTTTACAAAATTGACATGGCGTTCATTAGCCACCACAACTTCTAACACAGACTTCTTACAGCCACGTATATCTGATATGATGAAGATTTAATGCCAAGTAAAAGGGGAAACGACACTGAACATCCACTAAATACTTTGTCGCTGCAAAAATACTTGAACAACGAATTTGACACACACAAAAGATGCCAGAATTGACAACAATATAAAAAAAATTATGCTATATAAAAAACAAGCATCCTAAAATATTCTGAAAGCAAGTTAAGTATATTTTTAACATTTTTACCCCTGATAAAATCTTTTTTTTCATGTTACTAAATTTTAGCTTTATTTAAGAGTTTTTCCACATGTATAAGTTACGTTCTAGTTTTTTCTCAGCATTGGAGTTGTGTTAAAAAACGATCACAATATCCATATTCGGATATTGTTATATAATAAATAATATTGGAATTTGCATACAAAAATTTATTTTTTTATTTTTTTTTTTTTTGAACAAAAAAAATTTATTTTGATTTTGATTATTCGTATTCTCTGCTTGCTCTCTGATAATATTGAAAAATCACCAGTTGATAGTAAAATAAGCATATACTGCATAAAAGATGATAATCGAGATAATAATAGTCTTCGAAGGCATCAGTGTGGTATATATATTTTCATGAACTTCCAATGTTTAAAGTCATAAAGAAAATGATTTGAACGGAAAAAGAAGACGACTGAAATTTTGGATAAACAGCTGTTTATGTTTAGGTGGGTTTGTGTAAAGTATTATTTTCCTTGGACTTTTTAGTTTGATGGTAAAATGTTTATTTATATAGTCAAATTTACCAAATTGAATACGTGTCATTGTCACCTATCAACCTCTCTTTCTCTCTCTTTTTTTTTAAAGCTCACCTCTCTTTCTCTTTAGAAGGTAAATAATATGCTTGTCATTCTTGTTTTTGCTAGTTTAGAAGTTTGTCTGATGAAATTGTATATTCCACATAAGGTGATTCGATGGTAAACGATATTTTATAGCTTTTTAAAAATTATATCCAAGAGTTTATAATTAAGATTAATTGATTATTATTATTATTATATAATCATAAATTGTATGTAATAAAAAATTAACACCTACTTTAAACGAATCTAAACTATGATAATTAAAATTTTAAATTAATAAATTATAATCGATATTAATAGCTATGTTTGAACATAATTTTTTATTACGGTATACAATTAAATAATTTTCCCATAAATATCATATAGTTTTATTTTGATTTTAAATTACTTTTTACAAACCTTTTAAAACGAGATGGAAGACAGAAATAAATAAAAGTAAAAGTAAAAAAAAAAAAACAAAAAGTGCTGACCAGATTGAAAAGGAAAAATAAAGAAAAAGCCAAAAAGAGAGGAAAAAGAAAAAGAGATGCCTTTTTCTAAAAAAAAGTCCACAAAACTTGTGGCTCAGAATCCTCACGTGTGATGACGTGGCACTCAAGGCGAATCAAAAGGTAGTACAATTCGCAAGATCACAGCAAAACTGTAATCTTTTTTCTCGCCAAGACAAAAAGAGATAAAAGAAATAAACAAATCGAGAAAGAAAGAGAAAAAAACTCAGACAACCACCGAAACACAAGACAGTCGTTTCTCTCTCTCTCTCTCTCTCTTTCTCTCTTGTCTTCTCAAAAGGTTCCGCTTTTTTCTACGAAGAAGATTGATGTCTGATCCGGCGATTAAGCTGTTTGGTAAGACGATTCCTTTACCGGAGCTTCTTGGTGGTGATTCTTCTTCTACCTATACCGAACAGCAAGACCAGAATCCTGTTCGGTTATCAGATTCGTGTACCGGAGATGATGAAGAGATGGGTGATTCCGGTTTAGGAGGAGATGGTGGTGGTGGTTTTCACGGTGGAGATAGCGAGAGTGAAAAGGTAACGTTTTTTGGATTCATGAATCGATTTTGAAGAATACCCATGATTTCTTTCATGGAAATAACCGATGGGTTCATGTTGGATTGATCAAAGTCATAACCTTTTACTATAAAAATAATAATAATAATCTCGTTTGCTGTCATTTTGATATGTTTATGTTGAACTAGGTTTTCACCTCTTTTCATTTTGAAAATTACAAATCTCGAGGTTCTTATTAAATGTTTCTAGATCTCAATCACTTTCATTCGATGTCTATGGTTCTAGACTTCTTAGTCTTTCGTCAAATGAGTTCCTCGATATTGATTTGCTAGAGAAGTTTTAGGGTTTATACCGTTTTACTCACTTCGAAGGAGACTAAAATCGTTTGTCTCTATGATTCTTTTGACTTCCGAAGCTTTAAACTTGTAATTAGTATTCATTTGTTCTTTGAAAGTTCCAGAAACTGTGTTTTGGTTTCTAGAAAGTCAAACAGTTTAGCTTCATTGCTAAAATTTGTGCTGCTTCCAGCTTTGCTTTGATATGAATAACATTCTTAGCATACTGATGTGATTATGTGATCGATTTGTTATGTTATCTCAGGAAGAAAAAGATAAAGAGCATGGAGAAGAGTCATTGTGCAATGAATCTAGTAACGTTGTTGCGGCATCTGAGAAAACGGAAACAACAAAAGCTGCAAAGACGGATGAAGATTCGTCACAGAACGGTGGGACTTGCTCTCAAGAGGGGAAGCTAAAGAAACCAGATAAGATTCTGCCTTGCCCGCGATGCAATAGCATGGAGACCAAGTTCTGTTACTACAACAACTACAACGTTAACCAACCTCGCCATTTCTGCAAGAAGTGTCAGAGGTATTGGACAGCTGGAGGCACGATGAGGAACGTTCCCGTTGGCGCAGGGAGACGCAAGAACAAGAACCCAGCTTCTCATTATAACCGTCACGTAACCATAACATCTGCGGAAGCTATGCAGAAGGTTGCGGCGGCAAGAACCGGTGATCTTCAACATCCCAATGGTACCAGTCTCCTGACTTTTGGCTCTGATTCAGTCCTCTGTGAATCCATGGCTTCAGGGTTGAATCTTGCTGACAAGTCAATGCTGAAGAAGACACAAACCGGGTTGCAAGAAGCCAATGAAGGCTTGAAGATTACAGTTCCTCTAAACAAGGAGGCAGGAACAACCAGCCCATTACCAAAAGTTCCATGCTTCCCAGGACCACCACCACCAACTTGGCCGTACGCTTGGAACGGTGTTTCATGGACGGTTTTACCGTTTTATCCTCCACCGGCTTACTGGAGCTACCCGGGGGTTTCGCCAGGGACGTGGAACAGCATCACCTGGATGCCACAACCCACATCACCATCTGGTGGGTCTGGTCCAAATTCTCCAACACTTGGTAAACATTCAAGAGACGAGAGCATTGCTGAACCAGGAACCGTTCTTGAAGAAACCGAGTCAGTTGGTAGAGAGAAAAGCAAATCAGAGAGGTGCCTATGGGTTCCCAAGACGCTGAGGATAGATGATCCAGAGGAAGCCGCTAAAAGTTCGATATGGGAAACATTAGGGATCAAGAAGGACGAAAAGGCAGATACTTTCAGAGCTTTCAGGTCACCAAACAAAGGGAAAAGCAGTCTTTCTGAAGGCAAACTTCCGGGAAGACGACCGGAGTTGCAAGCAAATCCTGCTGCTCTTTCTAGGTCAGCAAACTTCCATGAAAGCTCATAGAAAGAAGCAGATGGAAATTAAGCAGCAGATGATTTGATTGTTTTGGGTTCAGTCTTGTGTTCCAAGAAAACAGGTGAGTCCTTTTGTATATATAATGGTTGACATAGCGAGGGAGAAGTTAGTTTTTGTGTTGCAGAGTGAAAGTTTGTTGTATCATAAATGGGAAAGCCCCAAAACTGTAGTTAAATAAATCTTGAAAGATTTGCTATTGTCCATTAAAAATCAAGATTTGTTTAAGGGAGAAAAGATGTTACACTAAATTAAGTTTGAGTTTCTCTCCAACTCATTCGAAGCATATTCAATTTTTTAAAAACTTTTTATTAACACATTTTATTTATAAAAAAATTAAAGTTATATTCAGTTATTTTAAAATTTATTTGTTTAGTAAACATGATTTTGCTAGAATATTTTTTTTTAATAATAATAAATTTACATAACCACATAAAATAGTAAAGTTTTATTTAAACATTATTATTACAATATGCTTTTCAGGGATGGTCAATTAACATATTTTAAGGGAGAAATGAGTTTATTTATCTTTGGCTGTAATTGTAGTACTATTTTTATGAATGAAATCATGTGGAATTAGTCATTCATGTGAATTCCATTGAAATTTACCAGTTAAGAGGAATAAGAAGAGTTTTTGAGTGGATATAAAAATATACTAAGTTCGAAAAAGAACACTCACTCATTAGAAATCTCCTATATATTAAAGGGAGAATCACTCATTTTATTCACATTATATTTGTCACATGGCAATTTCACAGCAATTTGAGAACGAATATGTTAGTGTATCACGTGCATATAATTTCTCAATCATACTCTACATAAATACATTAACACTATATACTAATTTACATTTGTTAGTATAAAATTTACATACACAGTTCTACGGATTATACAAAAGTTAGAATGATAATTTACAACAAAAAAAAATCATTATTATCTAGACTTATTTTATTTTTAGTTAATTAATTTTAACAAAATATTATATTTCTTGTGTTATTTTGAATATTTTTTTTAACTACAAGATCTTTATATATTTATCAACCACTTTATATATATTTTTATATACATACATGTAAGAGTGGACATGAATCGAATATCCGAGGTTTTGAAGGTATTTGTGATCCAATATGTTTTGTCCAAATAATCAATTATCCGATTCGATTCAGTTCGTATCCATCCAAATATATGATGTCCCGGAAAAATTATATTTTAACCGATTTCGATCCGTAAAAATAAATAGAGTAATTTAAAATAAATAAAAAATCTGAAATAATAAAATTTTGTTACAAAAAAAACCTTGTTTACTTTTTTGAATACTAATACCTAATTTAATAAATTTAGTAGATAAAAATATTGTAAAACATATATAGAATATATTATTTATATAACTTATATATAAACTTCATTAAATATATATATAAGCATATTATGGATCAGATCAAGTATCCGTTTTTGAATATTAGTATTTGATATATGTTTAGTTTTTTTTACGAATATTTCATATTTGGATTTTTTTCTTCGTAAAGTTATGGATATCTAATTTTTTTGTTCGAATCGAAAATGATAACAAATCAAGTAAAAATTCACGGAAAATTTTCCCAACCCTACATACATGTGCACATTAACGTGAACACCTATATAACTAAATATTCATTACAAGTGAGGATTCTAATTCTCTTGGAAGCTAAAAATATATTTTTGTAATGTTTTCATTCACTGTCGATTAAATTGTAACGAAATGATTTTCTTAGTAATTTCTTTTTATTCCGTTTTTATCTAGATTTGATTTGAATTTTTCATGCCTTTAGAAATTATAATATGAAAGCATTGGTTTGACATCAAGATTGTCTAAAATTCATATAACATCAAACCAAAAAAAAAATAGTAATAGTTTTTGGTTATCATTAAAAAATCTAAAAACCTTAAAACATTTTAACCGAATAGACAAAATAAATATTGATTAAAAATAGTAATTATATTTTAATAGATTAAATTAACCTAAAATAGAACCAATATCCTTATTAAACATTAAAAGACATAATATCTTCTTATCTTAAAAAATAAAATTAATAATTTCATTCCGTGTAAGATGCAAATTATTACCCAGTAACTAATATCTACTCTATTAAAATAGAGTCATTCTTTTTATCTACTGATACAAGTTTTCATTTAAATTTGGACACTTTCTAGAATGTTACAAATAATATAAATCATATAATTGATTGAACCGTATTACTTAAATTAAACCAACACAATTAATGTAAAAAGACAACCTTAATGTAAACTACCTTCAAAATTTGGCAGGTATCTATGTGTATACCAAAAACACATATTTTCTCCTACAAATATGGAATGTTCTAAAAGAATATATATCATCACAATATGGAATATTGAAATCTACTAATTATACTTAAATTAAACCAGTGGGTATTTATAGAATATAGTCTTTGGCTTACTTTTATTTTTTGAACAAATTATATAGTTTGGTTTTTTGGCTTAGTACTAAGAAAAAACTCCAAAAACATTGAATAAACTTTTCACCTTAAAAGATCAAAAAAAATCAATTATTATTTTCAGACCCAAAAGGTATTTAATATTTTTAACAAAACAAAATTATCTATTATTAATCATTTATTTAAATCATGTACTTTAAAACATGTTAATATATTTTTTTATTTTAAATAACAATCATTTTGTTTTGATAAATTTCAATGGTAACTTTTAAATAATTTATTGTTTTATTTTTCTTAAATAATTTACTGATTAAAAAAATGTAAAGCAAAACCAAAAACCAAATCTAAAAACTAAAATCCAAAACCAAAAGCTGAAAACACATGTTATATTCTTTTGCTTTGTTTATTTACAAAATAAACTATTTCAAATTTTTTTAAAAAATTTGTTATCATCTTTTCAGTTTTAAATTAGATGTTCGATTATTTGAGATTTGTTTGTTGATAATATTAGTTCAAACAAACTCAGCGGATCTAAAAATTAAAAACCCAAACCAAAAACTGAAAATGAAAAGTAGAAACTTAAAAACTAAAAACCAAAAACCAAAATCTAAAAATAAAAACTGAAACTAAAAACTAATGAAAAACAATCATCACCACAAATTTTGGTGAACTGATTTTATATCAAAATATTCTTTAAATTAAGACAAAACCCAATTATATAAAAATTTTAATCATAAAAAATTTCCGCGCTTTCAAGCGCGGGTCAAAATCTAGTATTGATTGAAGCAACCAATAAATAACATTTTGATATGATATTGGAACAAGCAATTGTATTTTAAAATATGCCAAAGTGTGAAAAACGCCAAAAGAAAAAGGAAAGTCACTCACTATCCAATTTCCAGGAAATTCACTTAGGAAATTAGTTGCAACTGTGACATTAATTGATGTTTGTCTTTTTCATTTCACCCATAAGAGACTTAAGTATAATAGATTAGTCATCATTTAACTGTTGCCAATCGTCAACAAGTTATGGATCATTGGTGAACAAACATTTTTTTTTCTGTGTGAACAAACAGTTAGTACTTCATTGTAAAACTTAGCTATCTTTAGAAACATTTATATAATTGTTTTTTTTTTTAAAGAGGCTTAAAAGAGACTGTAGAAAATTTATAACTTAATATTTGATTAATTAATAAATAAAAATAAATTTTCACCATTCATGAATTGGACCAGTGTAAATAAAATAATAAAATTTTGATAATTTTTAATTTAATATATGGTCTCACATTAATTAATAATTAAAATATAAACAAAACATTATATCATGTTGTCAAAAAAACATTATGTCATTAATTTTTTATTTACAGTGAAGTTCTTTGTTAACTATTTTAATCATTTTGAAATATTTCAATGTTGTTTTATTATTTTACATCTAAAAAGTATGCATGTTTTCTATACACAAATAATCGAATAAAAAAAAAACAGATTCCACGTGATTGAATGTATAACAAAAACTTCGGTAATTCTACATATTTTTTTTCATTTAGTGAAATGGTCTCCGAACCAAAATATTGTCCTATGTTTGCGTCATATTTGACGAAATACAACAGATCAAGGAAAAGTTTCATAACTTTCGCAATCATACATGTACACAGAACTCAAAACACAATGACAAACAAATCTTGCAAATAAACCACGCGTCTGTGGTTGAGTGGTCAAGGCGTTCCGTGTATTTCTAAAGAGACCGAATTTGAATTTACACCACCAGATTTCTATAACTTGTGGTCACCAGAACTTTTATATTCTTTGTCCGGGGAGTGATTTACTATTTTTTTAATTTAGGGGAAAAAAAGCAATCTTGCAAATAAAACTAGATGTTAACTGGCCTACTTTATGTTCTTAGACACCAAATCTCCTATTTGGTTAGCATAGTCTTAATCGATTGTGTTTATACTGACAACAACAAAAAATCAACTAAGAAACAATGTAGATTTACATAAAGTTTAATCAATTTATATACTATAAAAGTCAGATGCTCTTCTTACTCTTACATAAACATATTTTAAAATATTACACATATAAGAAAATTTTCTGTAAATTTATAAAATAATATAGTTCAACATTATTAATTTATAAAGTTAAAAGAAATTGCTTTATGTTTTCAGTTTACATCCATCTCTTCTTATACTATATGTTTCGGATAATTTGTAGAAGTAAATCCGTTGAAAATTTGTAAGAGACACGCCAAGTGCGAATACTGCATGTTTTTGTCATCATGTATAATGTTGTTATCATGTCTAAACCAATATTTTTAAAACTGAACTGAACCACACGGTAGGACCACGAAGAAGATAGACGTGAATTTTGGCCACCACTATGTTTAAGTATTAACAATCGTTATTTTATTATATAGATTCTACAAGTTGGAACACATAGCTATAAAATAATAAACTGACCAAACTGGCTTGAAATAAGTTCAAAAAGAAAACAACTCCTATGAAATTTCCTCTTAACTTACTTATTCTTTTCTTAGACTTGAGTTTCTTTGTAAGTTTCCTCTTTGCCTTTTCTTCCGCATCGCTTCTTCAAACCTGCACCTTCCTCACTTTTGCCTCTCCACCAAAATTATGTCCATTGACTTATTCATCATGTATATATATAACCTTATAGCAAACTCATGTCTCCCACATCTCATCCAAAACCTTTATTTCATTTATTTGCTAAGTTTTTGTCTAAATCTAACAAAAAAAAAACATATGACTGGAAGCCACTTATATTGTCTTATAACCATGAAGAAGAGTTCCTTGTCCGAATGCAAACACTCTTCTTTGCCTTTGTTTTGTCTGATCGATTTTTTCCTCATCAGCTTTTTCAAATGGGTTTCTTTCGCTCAGATCTTTTTCTCTAGGTTTTGTCCTCTTCTTCTTCAACACCAGCAATGTGTTACCGAGAAGAAGAGCAAAGATCTCGAGGTCCAGAGCTCAATCAAACACGAGGATGGTATTTTCGGAGAAGATGCAGAGATGGTGATGAAAAGCTTAGGACTTTTCACCGACTCAGAAAGCGAGGGGCTTCAGAAACGTTACAGCTCCGAGGAACTTACCAACTTGTTTGAAGAGAAAGAGCCGAGCTTGGAGGAAATGAAGCAAGCTTTTGACGTCTTTGATGAAAACAGAGATGGGTTTCTTGATCCAATAGATTTGAAGAGAGTTTTGACCATCCTTGGCTTAGAGCAAGGATCTAACCTTGAGAACTGCAGGAGAATGATCAGATCGTTTGACGGAAACAAAGATGGAAGAATTGATTTCTATGGATTTGTGAAATTTATGGAGAACAACTTCTGCTGAAATCGTGGTCTCTGAAGTAATAATCTTTCAACTTCTGCACTCTTTTTTTTCAACTTCTTTCTTTAAGATTACGTCTGTTAATATGGTTTTCTCATCACCTTTCTCCTTGTAAAAATTATTAAACTTTAATATCAGAAGCTCCTATAGAGCATTAAACCAATGAGATGAGGAATCATTGTCACAGACATGAATAATCTTCAACAAGCAAAAGCTTAACCAGTAATCACAGCAAGAAAATTAGCACCTAACTTGGTTGTAGAGGCTAAGCCTGAACTCAAGAAAATTGAACTAGTAGACACTATTTACATCTAAAAAACAATAACTAGAGAACTTAAGGTTTAAAATCTTCACCAGTAACAAAAAACACTGACCATTTTGAAAATGGAACCGGTTGGAATCTATGACAACTAATTAACTGGTTTGAGAACCTAGAGATAATACAATCACCACATCTATACTATTAAAAGAGAAGGAGTCCTAAAAAAATCTACTTAAAAATGTTGTTTGGACCTATTCATTAATCTATATAGACCAACTAAATAATCTTTCTAAATATCTTTTAATTGTGTTAGTTCCTATATGTAAGATTCTTATTTAGAATATCCTTAATATCCTTAGAAGATTATCTATATACATCTACATATTATCTTTAGAATATCATTTAAAATAATATTAGTTTTATTTACTTTAGTTACCATATAACCCACTATGGATTCACGCAAATTATAGTGTCCCTGTTCTAATCTTACGCCACCCATTATATTGAGACATAATCGTATAATAATTTATGTACTAAGTACCAACTTCTATGATACCAAGTTCTACGAACAAAAGAAGTACTCTTTTGTATATATAGACCAAAAGTTAAGAAATCCACATGTTCACTTCGTTGTGAAGCTTTAGTTTAATAGATTAGACCCCTCATAGATTTTATTTTTCCATTATTAAATAATTGGTGAATTATAAATATCTATACTATTAGAAAGAATATCTACAAATCTGTACTATTAATAAGAACTATAATAAAAAAATTTATTTAAGATAATATAAAAATTATTAAAATCTCTACAAATCTATATTATTAAGTTTCACCAACTTAACAAATGAAACTCTTATAAATTGCATAGAAAATATAATAAAAATATTGCATTACGGGTATTTGGATCGGGTACGTAGCAATTTTTGGGTCGGATCCTTCGAATCTAAAAAATCCCAAATTTTATCCAAAATATAATTTTAATATATACAACAAAAGTTTTGTGTAGGATCTGGACCAAACTAAAATTCACGGGTTCAAAAAAATATGTGATATATACTTTATTTTGGATCCAAATCAACATGTATTTACAGGTCAGCATTTTAGATCCGGATAGAATACCTAGACTTAAGAGAGAGTTATATAAAAACGTATATGCAAAATTTTAAATAAATTAATTTACAAATTACATAATTTTAAACAAATTCTCTGCTTCAAAATAATAAGATTTTGTAATATAATAATATACAAAATATCAAAATACTAACTTATATAAAATTTTACTTATAATTCAAACCCGCGCTTTCAAAGCGCGGGTCAATATCTAGTATCAACTTAATTCACAAGACCACACGCCACAGCTAGCTTCTAGCTATGATAAATGAGATTGTTCTCTCTGTGCTCTTCGTCTACAAGATGGTAAGCTCCAGCGAAATAAGGGGATTCAGGAGAATATCTAATGGCCTGATTCACCTTGGCATAAATCACCACAGTGTTGATCGTCTTATGAAAGAAAGACATGTGTATGGTTTAGTATACATATATACAGCTTACTTGAGGCTCATTCTTAACACGCCTCTTCTTCATCAAAGAAGCAAAAGAAGGCAGTCTCGCCACACTTTTGACTTGGCATGAATATATAGATAAAGAATGTCCTGTCCTACTTATGCGCTTCCTTCCCTAATCCATGATTTGTGAGAATCCATTTATCATATTGTGTTCCAAGTAAAAGTCATGCCTGAGAACTCTTTCCACGCATCCTCGAAGTCGAAGCTGCCGCTTTTAGCGTACATGGGTTCCTAAAACCAGAATTCACGACAAGGCCATGTAGAAGATCACCGTGGTTAGTAAGAGACAGTTTTGGCGATTTAAGTTTAACAAAACAGCAAATGTGAGCCCATTAAGAGGAACCTCTTTAGTTTCCATCTTTGCAAACAGATCAAGAGCCTCCTCGTAAGACTTGTTCTGGAAGTAAGCATCCATGATGGATGGATGTGTGTTTATACTTATAAACTCTCTGAGCATACAAAGGTTAATAACATTAATGAGTGGTGCACCACTAGTAGTAATATACGATCCGCACCTAGCGCGGGATGAACATTATATATAATTATTTTAATATTATATATTTTTACATATTGTAAAATATAATAAATATATATTAAATAAATTACAAATTCTGTAATTATTATATTTATAATTAAATTGTTGCAGACTCATAAACAAATTTTATTAATCCAAATAATTAATATTTTTATTTTATGTAATATATAATTAAATATAGATGATACTAACATATATATATATATATATATTATATTTTACATATTGTAAAATATAATAAATATATAGATTAAATAAATTACAAATTCTGTAATTATTATATTTATAATTAAATTGGTGCAGACTCATAAACAAATTTTATTAATAAATTATTATTTTTTATTTTATGTTATATATAATTAAATATAGATGATACTAACATATATATATTATATTTTATATCAATATCTATTAAATGATATTTTATGTTCATATAGTTTTTGGGAGAATTGCATAAATACACATTCTTGATTACACTAATTCTCATTTACCTTAAGAAGGGAAACATTTTCTAAAATACATTTTTCATTAAAAGATAAAAAACTCTTATACCTTTGTTCTTTATATATATAAAATAAATATTTAAATCAATAAAAAAACAAAAAACAAAAAAAAATATTTTTTTTGAATCACACTATTTCGAAATTCAAACTCTGAACCCTAAACTCTAAACCCTAAACCCTAAACCCTAAATGCAAAGTATATTTTTGAAAATATTTAAATAAATAAAATTATTATTTTTTAATTATACTATTTCGAAATTCAAACCCTAAACTCTAAACCCTAAACCCTAAAAATCAACCCTAACCCTTAAACTATCAATTCTAAACCCTAAAATATAAACCCTAAACTCTAAATTCTGAACCCTAAACCCTAAACCCTAAATTCTAAACCCTAAATTATAAATCCTAAACCCTAAACCTTGACCCTAAAATTATAAACCCTAAATTCGAAATCTTAAACCCTAAATTCTAAACCCTAAACCCTAAATTCTAAACCATAAACCCTAAATTCTATACCCTAAATTCGAAATCTTAAACCCTAAATTCGAAATCTTAAACCCTGAATTCTAAACTCTAAACCATATATTCTAATCTCTAAACCCTAAATTCTAAACCCTAAACCCTAAATTCTAAACTCTAAACCCTAATCCATCAAAACTTTATTAAAGTTGTTAAGTTTATTAGTTAAAGGTATAATAGTATTTTGCCTATTAAAAACGTTATCAAAATTGTTAAGTTTATTAGTTAAGGGTATAATAGTATTTTGACTATTAAAATTTTAATGGTAAAGTTGAAAAGTGGTATCTTGAAAGTGTCATTTCTGGCAATTTCCCATATCATTTGCATATTTTTTATTACAAAAACTTTAAATCATTAATAATAAAACCTTCATTATGGAATGTTTAATAGTTTTAATAATTTTTTTTTTTTTAAACTCTATGTAGGATTTAAAATTTAAATATTAAATTTTCAATAGTTTTTAGCTTTTATCAAAAACAATGTTCAAACATTTTAGCAAAAATTTAAATATACGTTAATCTTATTTTAATATATATATATATATGTTTATGTTATTTTAATTTTAATATTTATTAATATTAAGTGAGAATTGCCACTTATATGATTTTGAAACTATTTGTTCTTGTCATTAGAAAAATTTTAGCAAAAATTTTAATGTGAATTTGTAACAGTTTTAGTAATTTATATTCGTTTTCAAAAATTCAAAATATAACATATACGAAAAAATCTAATTTTTTTAGTATATGATTAATGCGATAGTTTAATTTATTTTAATATTTTAAAATTAAACAAAAATGATAAGGGATATACTATTTTTTTGTCAAATCTTTATTATTCAAAATCATTAATTATCATATATATACATTTTAGCCATATTAGGAAATTCGGCAGTTTTATTTAAAGAAATAAGAAAGAACATTAATAACTAATTTATTATTAATTTAATAAAAGGCTTATTATATATTTATAGATGGACCAACTTAATTCTTTAAGCATTCCAAGAATTATTATGGTGATGACACATGTAATGTTTCACAAATAATATCTAGGGATATCAACATCACAGACGAAACCAAGCCTTACCATTCAAACCACATTTCTCTTAGCCATTTAATCAAACAACTTGCGTGCACGAACAGTTTTCCCGGATTCCGCATAGAAATATATCAGTTTATCGCAAGAAGATATATAGTAGTAGGTTCACGACGATGAAACGAGCGTGAATCGCTTCTCCGGACCTCAGATAACTTGATTTCCGAAATTACCAAAACCGTATTCTATATGATTTCCGGTTAAATTTCGGTTAGCACATTTGGATCCGGAAAATCAGATTTCGGGTATTGGTTACGGTTTAAGTTTAAACTTGGATTGAACATCATTAGCATTTCTATTAATCGAGGAGAGAATTGTTTGCCTAAACGAAAGGAAAAATTCGGAGCAATATTGGAACGTTTGTATTAAGTTGGAGAAGTAAAAGGGATCTTATTAGTTGGTAAGATTCAAAGAATGAGAGTGAAGAATGTAGGGGTTCCATTAATGAATCTCGTCAAGCTTAGAGGAACACCCATTCTGCAGCAGTTGCTTCTAGAAGAAAGGCTTCTTAGATCTTCCTCTGCTAATTGGTGTATCCTTAACGACGGAACCAATCTACCTACCATTGTTATGGGTTTCTCTGGGTAAGACCAGCTTCTTCAGTTTCCTAAAATCTTTTTGACTCACATCACATGTGAAAGTTTTAATCTTTATATACATTATGCTTATAGTAACATTATAATTGTTGTAAGGAATGTGAAAGTTTTGTTCCTAATTTTTTTGTCTCATTGTTAACAATGCATAATGGTTACATTGTGGTTTCTTAACTATTGCAAAGACTGTGATGTTTGAGGATTTAAAAGTTTTGATATTTTTTTTAACACAGGAAGCCTTGTGAACTTGTTGAGCTTCAACCTGTCCTAAGAGATCGAATACCGGTTATTAAGCGGTTTACTGGAGGTGGAACTGTGATTGTTGACGAAAACACTCTTTTCGTGAGTTTGATTTGCAATAGGAATGATCTTCCAGATGTTCTGCCTTATCCACCTTCTCTCATGGCTTGGAGCGGTTCCTTGTATAGTCAAGTGTTTAACGGGATTGGTGATTTTCAGCTACGTGAGAACGGTTTGTGTGCTGGAAACTCATGATTATGTTTTGTGTTGACACATTGAAAGTTATAGGTTCTTGTTTTCGGGTTTTCAGATTATGTTTTTGGTGATCGTAAGTTCGGTGGAAATGCTCAGTCGATAACAAGAAATAGATGGATTCATCATACATCGTTTCTGTGGGATTATAGTGAGACCAACATGTCTTACCTTAAGCTTCCTTCAAAAGTGCCTCAGTACCGGCTGGTAAAAAGAAGATTCCTATATTCTTTTCTGTCAAAATGATTTGTTGCAGCTAAGTTATTGATCAAAGACCAGCTTGGTTTTGAGTACTTGCAGGGAAGAGATCACACAGATTTCGTATGTAGAATGAAGGATTATATAGAAAGATCAGTGTTTATAGAGAATACCATAAAGGCGGTGGGAACACAATTCATGTTGAAGGAACTTAGCTTGGATGAGATCGATGATTCTTGTAGAGAGCACTTAGAAACCACTAGACTCCTAACATTGGACGAGCTGAAAGAAACATTGGCAAAGACAAGTCGAAGTGAGAGTATTGCTCAAGCTGTTTAAGTGTTTTAATACTCTTGATTCTTTTAGCTTTGTTCTTAAGTTTCATGTTTTACTGTGGTGACTGAAACTCGGAAAATACAAGAACAAACTCTTGATTGTTTTTCACTGCTTATTCAAATGCAACCTTGTTAATGTTTAATGCTTCACAGAGTCATAATCACAGCGATTAAGGTTACAATTAGCAAGCTCTTTTATTAGTTTCTTCAAGAAGCTCCAACACCGAGAAAATCTATAAACGTTGGGGGTTTAGTGGTCTCGCTGCATTTGGCCACCATTGTATTTTCTGCTCCTGATGTTGACAGTGCTGAGGTTGGTGATGATGATGATGATGATGGTTGAGAGTTGGAGATATAACTTGCGAGTAGTTCCACGGAATCTTCAGGGAAGGTAGAGATGTCATGTTGATGATGATGATGGCCCAAGTACTGCATTGGCATGCGCATGGAACAATACTCTTCTTGTAGAAAATGATCTCTGAAGTTAGCACTTTCCTCTTTTGGCATCTTCCAGCTGTAGTTCTTCAACTCTGTCCTTTCATCCGTTACACTACCTGTAAACCACATAATTAAACCCATGAAAACTCAGAATTTTATGCATCACTACCATTAAATCCACAAAAAATCAACAGAAATAAACATCTCAAGTGTTGAAGACCCAAATAAAATGCATGAGTTATTATTAAGAATTTGTAGGGAGACACAGACCAGGAAACAGATTGAACGTTGGTTGTAGATTCAGGCGAGTGATTTCATCTGGGGAAGGACTCTGTCTCTTCCTTGAATTTGAGTAAGAAGTTGACTGTTTCCTCAGCTTTCTTGCCATGAGAATGTGCCAGTGATTCTTCACTGCATTGTCTGTTCTTCCAGGGAATAGCTTAGCAATCAAAGACCATTTGTTACCAAATTTTCTATGAACTGCAAGTAGCTTCTCTTCTTCCTCTTCACTGAAGGCTCTCTTGATAATCCTTGGATCTAGCTGGTTAAACCACCTCAGTCTGCAACTCTTTCCTTCATACGCACATACCAAAGAAAAAAGGAAGGTTTAACTTTCATAAACCAAAATGTACAAGAAAGAAGAGGAATGTAACCGGTTTTTATTTACCTGTTCTTCCTTGCATCTTCCTTGCAATGTGGTTCCACTTCTTAGGACCAAACATTGCCACAAGCTCTTTGAGCTTGAAATCCTCAGAAGGTTTCCAGTGACCTCTAAAACAAACCTTTGGCAGTTGCTTCTTCTTGCCCTCTTGATGCATCTTTCTTTTATTACAGAGCTCTCTTAATGATAATGCATTGTTTTCTCCAAGCCCATTAAATGGTACTCTGCTATGGGAGACGTCACAAGGGTACTTAGGGGATTCCATCCGGGTCTTCTTCAAGTTGTTTTCCTTAAAACCATGTCCATATACATAGACAGACACATAAATACATACATATATGTTTTGTTGTGGTATTATTCGGTGATGGCTATATCTAAAAATGGAAACCTGAGAGGAGAGAGAACGAGAGAAGAAGAAAAGCCACACACGCACACACATCTTTCATGGTTGCTCTGTTAAGAACAGTTTCAGTTCTCTGACAAAGTTTTTTGACCTGTTCTAACATTAATTCTCTATATATTCCCCCCACGCTTTAGCACATCCATGTATATTGTTTTCTTTTTCAACTTTTTAATCATGTTATATATATACATATATTTAAACATTTCTTGTTACATGTTTGCTAAGAAAAAGGTGACCCTGAAGATAAATAATGTTGAGCTGGCTGATTTATTTTCTAGTGAATATTGAAGTCTAAGTATCTTATAGATTTTTGGACAAAAAAAAGAAGAATAAAAAACTTGTTATTGATCAGTGAAGAGAATGTTAAGTTATCTTTTTAACATTTATATCTTTTGTAATTCCAGCGTTGAATATATGAGTTTTGTTAAGAAACAATGTTGATTTTGTTCTTAAACATTATCATCTGAATGATAAAGAGGATAAATATATGTAAAGAGACACTTCTACAGAAAATGTATATTAAAAATATGGAATTTTAATTGTCTTAGAGAATATGTACTTTTCGTCACTTCCAAAGAAAGAAAAATTCAAGAAAAAGAATGAAAACTCAAATCTATAAAAGAAACTGTAAATGTTTTTTTTATACAAAAACTCTGATTCATTTCAGTTTAAATTATTGTTTATTCTTACAGCATTATGATTCTTTTAGTAAATTAACTTTACATAAACTCACCATCCTTTAGACGTTAAAGAAAAAAACTCACCATCCTAATTATTATATGTAACGGCAATGCAAATTTAAACAATTCGTCAACTACAATACAAAATGCAAATTAGCGTTATAACTTTTTCGAAGTGGATATTAAATTATATTCAAACAAAAAAACGGTTTTACAGTACTTTATACTACTATTAGATTTTGACCCGCGCTTGAAAGCGCGGAAATTTTTTATGATTAAAAATTTATATAATTAGGTTTTGTCTTAGTTTAAAGAATATTTTGATATAAAATCAGTTCACCAAAATTTGTGGTGATGATTATTTTTCATTAGTTTTTAGTTTTAGTTTTTATTTTTAGATTTTGGTTTTTGGTTTTTAGTTTTTAAGTTTCTACTTTTCATTTTCAGTTTTTGGTTTGGGTTTTTAATTTTTAAACCCGCTGAGTTAGTTTGAACTAATATTACTAACAAACAAATCTCAAATAATCGAACAACTAATTCAAAACTAAAAAGATGACAACAAATTTAAAAAAAAATTGAAATAGTTTATTTTGTAAATAAACAAAATAAAAATATAACATGTGTTTTCAGCTTTTGGTTTTGGATTTTAGTTTTTAGATTTGGTTTTTGGTTTTGGTTTTGCTTTACATTTTTTAATCAGTAAATTATTTAAGAAAAATAAAACAATAAATTATTTAAAAGTTACCATTGAAATTTATCAAAACAAAGTGATTGATATTTAGAATAAAAAAATATATTAACATGTTTTAAAGTACATGATTTAAATAAATGATTAATAATAGATAATTTTGTTTTGTTAAAAAATATTAAATACCTTTTGGTCTAAAAATAATAATTGATTTTTGATCTTTTAAGGTGAAAAGTTTATTCAAGGTTTTTAGAGTTTTTTTCTTAATACTAAGCCCAAAAACCAAACTATATAATTTGTTCAAAAAATAAAAGTAAGCCCAAGACTATATTCCATAAATAATTTTGATGATATATATTCTTTTAGAACATTCCATATTTGTAGGAGAAAATATGTGTTTTCGGTATACACATAGATACCTGCCATATTTTGAAGGTAGTTTACATTAAGATCGTCTCTTTACATTAATTGTGTTGGTTTAATTTAAGTAATACAGTTCAGTCAATTACAGTAGAACCTCTATAAATTAATACTCGATAAATTAATAATCTCTATAAATTAATAAATTTCACCGGTCCCAATTTGGGTCGGTGTAAAATATGACACAAATCGATAAAATAATAAGATAATAATATTTTTAAAACTGCCATGTAAATATATGGTCCCACTAAAACCATAAATTAATAATCTAGCTATATATAATTTTATATAAGTACAATCTAACATTATATTGTTGGTTTTATATTTACTATAAAAATAGTTCTATTTTTTTAAACATTTCAATATATTTTGATAATATTTAGTTAGGGGTTTTATATTTACTATAAAATACTTTTATTTTTTAAACATTTCAATATATTTTGATAATATTTAGTTAAACTATATCAAAAACCATGTAACAATTCTATGAAACATAAAAATATACACCAAATAAGATAATAAAATAATATAAAAGTCAAATTTCTAAAATTTAAATAATGTACATATGCTAAAATCAAATATTTTTTTATTTTATAAATAAAAATAGAAAAAGATAAAAAAAATCTAAATAAGAAAATTTTCGTAAATTAATATCTCTATAAATTAATAAAAATTCAAAGTCCCAACATTATTAATTTATAGAGGTTTTACTGTATATGATTCATATTATTTGTAACATTCTAGAAATTGTCCAAATTTAAATGACAACTTGTATCTACTTCAGTAGATAAAAAGAATGACTCTGTTTTAATATAGTAGATTAGTAGATTTCCATATTCAATATTTTGATGATATATATTCTTTTAGAACATTCCATATTTGAATGAGAAAATATTTGTTTTCGGTATATATATAGATACCTGCCGTATTTTGAAGGTAGTTTACATTAAGGTCGTCTCTTTACATTAATTGTGTTGGTTTAATTTAAGTAATACGGTTCATTCAATTATAGGACTTATATTATTTGTAACATTCTAGAAATGGTTCAAATTTAAATGACAACTTGTATCACTAGATAAAAAGAATGACTCTATTTTAATAGAGTAGATATAGACTCTTAAAAGATGATAAGAAAGAAAGCGTTTCGAGCGAGGTGTTATCATGGTTTTTAAATACTTTGCACGTAAAGCCTACGGTATAGTCCTGAAATAAAAACACAAACAAAGAAGATACCATCTTTTAGACCATCTCCAACCTTACTCCATAATTTTACTGTAAAATGGAACTGAAAATAGAGTAATGAATAAATAAAAAAGTCAATATTCCATTTATAGAGTACTGACTTTTTTTGTTTGTTCATTACTTCATTTTGTATTCCATTTTACAGTAAAAATATAGAGTGGAGTTAGAGATGCTCTTAGAGCATCCACAACCGTGTGACTCATTGGAATCCTTAGCGACAAGGCCATTTTGGATTAATCATAGATATTTCAGATTTTTTTTTTAAAAAAGATGACCATTCACAGGCCACCACGTGGTCAATGGGAGCCCGTGAACAGTGTAAAGATCAATCCTTACCAAAGGATTTTAAGCATTCTTTTTAGCATAAACTCTAAGAAAATGGGCTCCACATTCCCAAACGACTCCCTCAAGAGCTCCCATTGTGGATGCTTTTAGCTCCGGAAACAACATATTGTAGGCCTAATAATATCCATCAATTTCGAGCATCTCCAACAAGTCCCCTTATTTTGATAGGGTTCACTCTTAAAATAAGAGAATGAAGGGGTAATTTTCCAACGGTGACTCTCAAATTTTTTCTCTTAAAAATTTATATTTTACACTTTAATCCTCAATTTTATTAATAATTAATTCTTATCACTAAAATTTAATAAATAAATAATAAACACATATTAATATATGATATTAACATAATTAGTAAACAAATTTAATTATAACATCGAATTACTTATAATAAAAGGTAGAAAACATAAAAACATAAAACTATATTTAATAATAAAACACACAATTCAAATTACAATATATATATATATATATATATATATATATATATATATAAAATACAAAACTAATCAATACAATTATTTACACACACACACATATCATAAAGCCGGCGACACAGAGCTTAAAGAGCCTCCATTCCCGGGGTCATAAGCCGGCAACAACAGAGCTGTATAAGCCTCTACATCCCAGAGTCAATAATCCGATCATAAAAGCCTAATCCAGAAAGATAACATCAATCCCTCTCCCTCTCACAAAATACATGCACCCAGAGAATAAAAAATAAAACACACAGAAACCGGACCGACGGTGGATGTGAAAGCCCACTCCGTCGGCTGGAGAACTATTCTCGCCAAATGTGATCTAGAGATGGATGGGAGCTATTCTAGAGAGAGGTTCTCCTTACATATATAATAAAAAATGACTTAATATTAATAGTTGGTTAATACATTAAAACGATAAGTAGTTTATGAAAATTTATTTTTACCATAGTTGTAAATATTTGAAACATAAATAATCTAAAATTTTAATTATGGTCACTGTCATTCTTAGGTACAATCATATGATTCATGATTGTTCATTTGTTAATTTATGTCTATGGAAAAATATATTTATTTTCAATTTAACAACATTATTATTTTAGTTTATAAGAATATCTTGATAAAGACCTTTCAACTTTTTTTAATGTAATGTATATCTTAATAGTTAGTGTGGAGTATGTTTTATTTAAAGTTAGAAAAATACATTTATGTAAATTTATTTTCCCTATAGTAACTAAACATATATATATATATATATATATGCAAATTTTTAGTTAAAATCTAAATGTCCATTCTTTTTTTTTGTCATTGAATGTGTCCTGTGGGGACAAACAACGAAACCGGTTGTAGTTTAACAACGTAGCAAACAACTTAGGAAAATAAGAGATGCCGGTAAGTATCAAAACC